AAAAAAAAAAAAAAAAGACATGAAAAAAGAATAAAATCAATTTCTGAACATCCATGACAGAATTTCTTATTTCCTAAAGAATTATGCAAAAAAGCATAATATACAGCAGGCACATGATAAATATTTTCCCTGGCACACAATACTTCTACACCAATTAAAATTAAAAATAAACCAAACTATTCAAATCACATTAATTAACCTCAAGATGTAAGAAAAAAGAGAGGGAAAGAAAAAAAGTTTAGCATGTACCCAGAAGAACTATGATCACGTTCTAAGACTCGACTAACGACATTACCGGGATTCCCTTGCTCGAAAAACTCGAGCACCTAACTCGAACCTCCTCGCCAATCTCAAATTCGCTTCTCGAACCATTCTGCATATGAACAAAAATTGAATGAAAAGAGCAAATACAAGATTCGTTCGTTTTTCTGCATCAACGGGATTTCCATATCACGCCTTTAAATACCCCTCGAGAAAATCTAATGATTTGTTTGAGACTTTTAAGAACAGAATCAAACTTTATAAATTCCTAAACTAAGTAATATGTCAACAATCTTGAGATTATTGTCAAAATTATTAAAAAGGTAATCAACTATAGGCAATGAAAAAAAGGGGCTAGATAGGGAGTTTGAAATGTGAAAAGATACGCTTTATTCACCTCAAACCGATACATTCCACGCAGACCGCCACCTAAATCAAGGACTAATCCATGTGCACGAATTTGATGAACTTTAGCTGTCAATTTAATCCCAAGCTTCAGTTTTTTCTCATCGAGAGGAGCCTCATTTGTAGATTCACGTTTTCCTAGAAAATGAAACAGTAAATAAAAAACTAATAAAAAACTTAATATAGTCAGTCTCACATACAGGCCACATTACTATTTCTGTGTTTGTACGCTGCCACATTTATCAAATTTATCTCGATTAGATTTTGAGCAAATCAAGTACACAATGAATAAACATTTTACTTGACCATAGCAATGGGAATGAATGGGAACCAAATACTTAACTATTTTAACCAACATTTTCTTAATTTGCTCGGCACAAACTATAGGTATTTGTGGGGGCAGAAGGAATTTTTTAACGATCACAGATAAAAGATCTACGATTCACGTGCAAGATTCAAATGCAGAGAAGAAAATATTTACTACCTTTAGATTTCTTATTACCAAAAGCAGCTGATTTTTCAGCCTCATCACACTCAGCAGCACTTCGAATGACAATCGGCGTTAAGCTGTCCTTGCCACTCTTAAACTGATCATCCTCACTTTCTTCCTCCTTTTGTACATTGTTATCAGGCTTCCAAACTTGAGGCGTTTGTTGTACAGTAGCAACAGGTTCTTTTACAATAGGATTAGATTTAGAGCCTTGTTTAGGAGGTATAGTGGCTTTAAGAGATAACTTAATATTGCCACGCACGTCAAGACCAATGCACATTACTTTTACTACTTGGCCAACTGATAACACATCCAAAATCCGGGACACCTGATATGAATCAAAATCGAAACATGAATGTAAGAACAACAAAAGGTAGAAGCTTACTAACAAGGAAAGAGTAAACATAGCAAAAATGCACAAACCGGTTCGTGTGACAACTCCGAAATGTGGAGGAGGCCCTGTTGGCCTCCATTAAACTCCACAAAGGCACCATATTCCTTTATTGTAGTTACGACACCTTTATACACCCCTCCCTTCACAATTTCGCGACCCACGATATTATCGATCTGGAAGAAGTAAAAAAGTTATCAGGCAAATTGATTATATGTGGTCAGAAAGTGTGCTATAGATAATAAACTGAAAAGTGAAAACTCATGGGTTTTACAAGAACGTAGATAAACAAATATGGAATTTGGAAATAATTTAGGTGGAAATTTAGATAAATTTATGAGACAAATATGCCATAAAAAATGGTGAATTGAGTACTTCCGTGCAGATATATAATCACATGTTTGTGATAGATATGTATATGCTAGGAGTGAGGCGATCGGTGATGTCCTAGTAAAAAGTCAAATAACTTCAAAATGACGAAATATTTTCCTGCTAACTAGAACGGGAATATATTCTAGACATTGCAACAACACAATATGTCGAATATAAATTGCTAATATTTCGAATCACAACCAAAAATCTACACTCTACAGGATCAAATCAAGCTAGTGGGTTGGAGAACAAAGTTTGTCCCCAACCGGATGACAGCCAAACAGTACGTATGAACCAAAGTTCTCTAAAGAGCACAAAATATTTACCTTTTCCAACAATTTATCCATTACTGATTGATTTTTAGCCACTATGGTAAGAGAACCATCACTTACTGACATCCTTCCGCCTGTAGCATAACAGAACTTCAGTACACAAAAAATATAGAGTAAATGTTAACTGCCACAAGCTAAAGAAATAATCTCTTAGATTTTCACTTCAGACCGTAATTTCAGTATGACAAGATTGACAAGCATAACAAAAACATCTCATTACAATCATGAATTTAAATCATCTATTGAATAGAACTTGCAGTATGGTTCTTATATAGTAAGGCAGGTTCAAGTGTTCAGAGTTAAAAACAAAACAACATAATTTGATTATAGTATATTCAAGGACAAACGGACAGCACAACACTATTAGATTCACTTTTAGGTATCCTAAAGCAGTAACCACACCAAAATAAACCAGAGGCTCCAACGTAATTGCTCATTAACCATACCTGTTTCTTCTTCAATTTTCCTCTTCAAGGCACCTAGAGGACCAATCAAACGGCGGATAGCTTCATTGTTGTACCGCAATGTCACTGCATTAATTGCCATACCAATGAGGTGAGGTGAAGTTAATAATATTACAATCACACAAAAACCCAACACCATTGGCTTCATATTCTAAAAGAGAACAGATCTTCAGTGATTGACAAAGTGTGGAATGAGAGGTTGTCAAAGCTAAGCTCTGTCTTATAAAAGAAATGGTAACTCTTACTTATTCGTGGAGAGTTTCTGCCATCCTGGGTACGTGGTACATTTATCTCTTGCTCCATATGATCAATTATTTGAAGCCGACCTTTACGCGCGGGCTCTAGACACTCACATATGATATCTAAGGGAATCCCCGCAGGTTTTATATCCAGCTGAATTGATGTGATTCCGTTGCGCGTCCCAGCAATTTTGAAGTCCATATCCCCTAGATGATCTTCCAGGCCCTATAAGTAAAATATATTGAAAGAAAAGGGAAGGATTTAGAGAGAGAAAAATGAAATTTAAATAAAACCTCCATAGTTAGATTGTCCCATTCTGGAGGCAGAAAAGGTTTCCACAAAAAAAATTAAAAATAAAAATACAAAAGCTGCCCAAAGACATACTCCTTACCAGGATATCAGTTAATATTCTGTAGTTGGCAATTTCACCAGTCGATGGATCAGTTTCACTGACAAGCCCCACTGACAAACCTGCTACATGCTCTCTTAATGGAATGCCAGCATCCATCAAAGCCATGCTACCTACCAAATTAAATGCATATTGTGTCATTCTAATAGAAGTTATTTTAGAAAATAATTACAAGTCCATAGACTGCAGGTCCAATGCCCATTAAGAAGAGACTTCATCACTCGGATGTTTATATGCAGGAACAGAAGTTCCTGACAAAGGTTAAAAGCGGAAGATGATGACCTGCACAAACAGATGCCATTGACGTCGATCCATCAGATGCCATGACTTCTGCATTAACACGGACAGTGTACGGACAATCATCTTCAGGAGGTAAAACAGCAACTAGAGCTTTCTCAGCGAGAGTACCTGCAAAACAGAGACTAATTAGAAATACGTAATAGCATTTGGCAAGTTAAAAATTAAAGGGAAGCACTCAGAAAATAGACTAGACAAAATACAAAGAACAAATACGCACACGCATACAGGAAAGAAAGAAGAGGAAAAAAAGGAACAAGAAGAAGAAAAGAAATTACAAGTCTAACACTATTTAACCTAAAACAAAAGAATCACCGGAACAACTGAAGCATATAATAAGGAAACAGCACAATATTATCACAACTAAGTGAATTTGTAGGTCCTATCTCACAAATGTGGTGATCTTCTACGAGAAAGACAATCCGAAATTATAGTCGCGCAAGATGAAAGGAGCCATTCCAAGACAAGAATATTTGAAGCAACCATAAAATATACAAATATAGTCACGACTCTCATGAAAACAACCGTAGCTTACCATGCCCGACTTCCCGTCGGTTCAGGCCAACTCGTTTGCCAACTTCGTTGATGCAAAATGGTGGAAAACTATAGTGAAGCATGAATCTCTTAGATGGAGGACCAACCAGAGAATCAAGATGCTGAGCTTCTCCAGGTGCTCCGAGTGTCACAGTACAAAGAACCTGTTGTAACAAAGAAACAATTAATACAACAAAAACAATAAGGCTTCCAACATATGACAACTCTGATTTTATCAAATTCTACAGGTAGAATTCTTTAACCATGCCTAGGCAGTTAAGTTACTGACCTGAGTATCTCCACGATTAAAGATTGACGAACCATGGAGTACAGGCAAATTACCAGCTTCACAATAAAGAGGCCTAACTTCATCAAGACGCCTTCCATCAACTCTGAGTCCTTCACCAATGATCCTTCTGCGAACAACCTGAAATGTTCAAAAACATTATATCACTACCTTGACGAGATGTCAAACACAGAACAAATCTAGGAAATGAGAAGGAAAATAAATTACAATCTGTCAAGTACCACTGGTATTATAACAAACCGAAATAATCAGCTGTAAACTGCACTAGGGGCTGTTTCCGTCTTGAAAAGTATGAATATAAATAACACAAGACCGACAACACAAGAAACAAGGGCAACTCGCCTTGGCGTTCCCGTGCCCTTAAATTAAAAAGAGTGCCATTTTCGCTTTTTAGTGCAATAGCATCTTTCGAAACAGATGATGTAAATTACATGTTGAAGGTTTACGTAAGAGTTTTTTTTTTTTTTTCTTCTCCTTTCTTTCCCTACGTGAGAAGTATGGGAGACAGAAAAATATCATAGATTGGTGCCAATACCTTTTTTCGCACATTATCTATTGTTTTTGATAGAAATTTAAGGCCTTCTTCATTATCCTCTTCCACTAGAGATTTCTTAACATCCTGTGTAATATTATCCAAGGCTTCTCCCCTTTCAAACTGCAAGGACAAACAAATCAACAAATTCAATATGATCGCAGTTGCATTATAATATGATTATCACCATAACTATCAGTGTATTGTGTGGTTGGGTTGAACCTTGCCATATGAAGGGTCTGTAAACACAGCTTCAATCTGAGCTTCTGCCAAGCTCCTGATTTTTTCATATGTTCCCTCGGATACCATGGATAATTTGTATTCATTTTTCTGTTTACCAGCTTTGGCTGCCAACCTCATTTGGGGCTCAAGATATTTAACTGCCTGAAGCATTCAAAGATAAGAGTCCTGAAATACTGCGCATTATCAAACAGAAAGCTCAGATACACACCTCAGGATGAGCCAGTCTTAGAGCTGCTTCTAAGTCTTTTTCCGATATCTCACGTGCTTGGACATCTATCATCAAAGTTTTATCTCTTGTGCAGGCATAAATCAAATTGAGATCGCTCATAGCAAGCTGAAAGACATTCATGGGAATGGATTGTGCTGTTACATGAACATACTCACAAATGATATTTAATGCATATATCACATTATAATCAAGTAAAGATGAAAGGTCAAAAATCTTTTGAATTGGACTCAAGTAGGATGCAGAAGAAAATGCATAAGCTCCAGAATAAAAAGATACATAATTTTATTCATTACAACAAAATTGGTATAGAGCCACAGAATTTACAATGGTTCTGCACGAAATAAGACAAGTAAAAATGGGATGACGCTTTAAATATCACAGCTGCATAGGGAAATCACTAGACATTAATTTTATAGGAATCTTAGATAACTCCATGAAGGCGATGAGAACAACAACAAAAAGGCTTTCGTTGAAACAAGGAAAAATTTGACAGACCTCATCCATGCTGGGATTAACAATAAATTGACCAGAAATCCTCCCGATACGTATTACCCCAATGGGACCAGCCCATGGAATATCTGATAACATTAAAGCAGCAGATGCAGCATTGGCGGCCAATACATCAGGATCTTGTTTCCCGTCGGATGATAGAACACTCGCCATGATCTTTGAGAAAAGAAGTGAGCTCAGAAAAAGCAGCACAATAGACTTAACATAACATGTTTATTTAGTTATGTGCAGTAGTACTATACCTGGACTTCGTGGTAAAATCCGGCTGGAAAAAGGGGTCTAATAGGTCGATCAATGATTCGACCGCACAAGAGTTCACGTTCTTTCGGAGCACCTTCTCTCCGCATAAACGTGTTTGGAATAACACCCTGAGCGAACTGTTTCTCCTGATAATCAACCTTACAAAACACGAAACAACCTATTCATAGTAATCATAAAGAGTAAAGCCAAGATGCCCTCAACCCTAAGTAACTAAAGGAACCAACGAGGCTGTCCTAGAAGTACTTATAATTACATTTACACCTTTAATCAATTTTAACAAAAATTGATAAGATTACAAATTCTTGAGCTGAAAATTGCTGTTATATCCTCTCTATACAAACCACATAAAAGTAGAGCTGCTCGAAGTTACCAAGATCTGGGCCCTTTTTTATTCATCAAACAAAAATGCACAAATATCTATAAATGTAAACAAAATGGGTACTCAGCAATATAAACCCCAAAATTATTGTACGCATTAGCAATAGCTTAGTTACTGAAGTAAAACTGCAGCATGAACAGACAATTCAACCGTTTCACCAGAAGCAAACGAAACAAATAAATTGCTGAGCATAAAATGCATTTCAACTAAACATGTATGTCAATGAAAAACAAAATCCAAACACGCCAGGATCATAATAATTAGAGGCTAACAAACTACAAGTCACAACTCTCTTCCATTTACGCCAGCAGACAATTTGTAAGATTCAAAATGATGAAAGCCGAAGGTAGACATTCCAAGCATTGAAAATATCATTTCAACCAATTCTCACACCCTCAAAGAATAGCGAGCAGCATCATTATCATAAAAGCGAACATAAAAATGCTTCTACAAGGGTAAATCATTCTTTCATACAGAAAACGCCTTACAGTGAGAGGCAGGAAATCACGAGTGCCGTCACCCTTTGCTGAGGATACTGTGGAGAGCACTTTCGTCTCCTCCATACCCAAAACAACGGCGCCATTAGCAAATCGCGCGATTTTGCCAGTTTCCAGCGTGACTTTACGCGATCCAATTTCAAATTCTTCCAGGAACGTCTCCAGAATTTTCTTTCCGGTAGCTGCACCTTCGCATTCTTCCGCGGATGATTTCGCGGGCGACGAAGGCGGCGCGTGGAAAACGTGACCGCCGCAAATTGTACGTAATTGGATTCGGCGCCATGGTATGCTCGAGAGCAGAGGATTGGCTTTACTCGCCACCGGAGCCATGGGAGAGAAATGAAAGTAGCAGGGTTTAGGGTTTAAAGGGTTTTAGGAAATGACAGCCTGAACAAAAGTGCTGGGTTTTACAATTGAGGCTGGGGATCAGGTGCATCGCGGCTCATGCAGTAGATGTTCATTTCTTTTGGCAAATTTCTATAGTGTGACTGATATAAACAAAATCAATCTATAAAATTGGTCAACATTATTTGTCCGACATCTCTAATTGAACAAAAATGAAAAATCAATATATATTTTTTTCTGAATTAAATCTTGCCAAAATAATATATTTGATTTCCTAGGTTTGACTTGACCCTTTTCTATATTTTTTCTTGCAAAACATATAACCCATAAACAAAAGATGTATAGTAAAATAATATTGAGAACTCCTTACTCCACTACAGAACCATTCACTCGAAGATTATAACCATTAAATTAGTTATCCTCGACGGTTATATAATAATCTAACAGTTACAAACTCTAATAGAATCGTTCGGTAACGAGACCGTAACATTTCTTTAAATATTTCTTTAAATAGTAGTGGCACTAACATGTCCTCAAATAAACCCACACATGGAAGATTTCTTTAAAATGAACCACAGGCCTTCTCCTTAGCCCCAAGTCACTTTTGAGTGAAAATTTTGGTCTGGACCAGGAAAATGGCAGTGCATGTTAATTTAGGCCCTAACCCAGTTTACTTGGGCTTATAAGGGTGAAACCGGGCTAGTAGGCCACGGCCCACATGAGTTGGGTAGACAGATGCAATTCTCGAAACATTATTTTTGACATCCAATATTTCTGAAACTTTTCAATACAATTCACACATTTAATTTAACTACACTATTATTTTAAATTATTTTATGTAAACCAATTAATTATAAAGTTATACTTCATGCATAATAAAAAAATGGAGAATTGTTCATTAAAAATTAAAAACTAAAATGCGCAAGATGAAAAATAAAAATACCGTGAGATGCACATAAAATAATTATTCGTACAAGTAAAAAAATAGTTAATCTTTTAAGTCTCGAAATTGGTCAATTCCTTTCCAAATATGATCAACCAGTGCATTTCTAAGTACAACATGATCATCATATATTTTTATGTCTCGGAATTTCTTCGTGACTTGTCTATAGTAAGCATTTGTTCAGCGAATTGATCTCGCTCAAGCTATGTTCACGCTCGAAAAATGATCAGTCGGTTCAATATTTATAAATATATATATTAAATTAAAAAAATAAATTTAAATAAATTTAATAAGTTTGAATTATTTATAAATATAAAAATATTTCGGTGTTACAATTAAAATGAGTGGCTAATTAAATATGTGCAATAATATTTCAACAACCAATCAGAATTATATCACATGATCAAATCAAAAACAGAATTAATTTACCACAATCAAACCTTAAAAACGTCAGCCACAAAACCCTAAATTTCGCCATGCATGCATGAATAAGCATCGTGTTCCTGCAAAACCTGTCCTGAATTTTCATTTTTCCTTAAACAAAAATCTAAAAAAAATAATAAAGAAAAAATAATAATAATAATAATAGAAATAAATTCAAATATATCCACACGAGAGCATCTCCATAAAATCCATCTCCTTCTGCAAATCAAACTGCATATGCATCTGAGCCTCCACCAAACCGCAATTACTCATCATCTTCAAGTTCTCATCATCATCTTCATGACCTTCAGCTACACCATTAACAACAACATTAACCTTCTCATCATCACAATTATTTTCCTTCTTTAATTTCATCTTTAACGGAGATAACGAGGCTGATCCGGACGACGAATTGTCTGTATTAATGCCCTCGCAGCCTTTCTGTGAAGAGGTAATCAAGCTCTTGATGTAGTTCTGTAATGGGCTGCTGCTGCTATTGGGCTTCGTACTATTGTTGGACGTGTTGTTTTTGCGGGCTGAGAGTTGCCTTCTCTTTGTCGCGTTCCAGTGGTTTTTGATGGTGTTCTCGCTCCTTCCAGGCAGGCTTCGGGCAATCTCGGCCCACTTGTTGCCCAGCTGGCGGTGGGCCTCGATCAGGATCTTGTCTTCTTCCTCTGACCATCGGTCTTTCTGCAAATGGACTTAAGAGATTAAGTTTTGGCTCGTTTTAAATTTTTTAATGTAGTGTAATTTAATCTCGATACTATTTTCTATCTACTTCCTAATTACTTGTGTGAAATAATGAAAAAAAAAAATAAAAAACACAAATTCTTGTGTGAGACAGTCTAACCGCTATATTTGTCGGTCTATCATACTATTTCAACAAAACTGTACTCTAATACTATCAAATATCTCTTTTTTGTTTATGTTATAGTATGCCTTTTAATAATGAAAGTATGCACATTTCAAATATATATATATATATATATATATATATACATACCATTTAATATCTTTATACGTCGAATGTAATAATGTTGAAAGCTATTAGCAAATCAGATTAATTCATCAAGGCGTAATCTTTTCTGGCGAATCCATAATTGCGTAACTTTGATCGATCGTTCCATAAGATGCAACAACTTGGAGGTACAATACAATAAACGTGTACAAATGATCGATATATATTTTTTTTTTTTTTCTCATGATGACTGTAACTTGAACACATGATGAGAGCAAACAATGCCAACTCTAATGAACAAATAACGCAATAGTAGAAGGTCACGTTATAATCAATAATATGATGAGATTTAGCAAACAAAAATGGTAATCAAAAAGTGACCTAAAAGGAAGATAATCATATTATGCTATGTAATAGAGTTTAGGAAAAAATTAACCTTAATGTTAGGCTTTAAATGGTTGTGCCATCTTTCCCTACATTGCTTCCCAATCCTCCCAGGAAGCATTTGAGCAATTGAAGACCACTTTCTTATTCCATTTTTCTCCACCAACTCCACCAGCAACCTAAGAATATAGCAAATAATAATAATAAATTAATAATAAAATAATAATAATAATAATAATAATAATAATAATAATAATAATAATAATAATAAGATTCAAACTAATTACAATTATTCACTTTGTGCTAACAAAACTCATATGATCAACTAATGATATATATATAAACTACGAATCGACGAATCAAAATTAAATAAAATGAACCAAATAATCAAGAAATTAAACAATGAGTACCCATCTTCTTCTGGAGTCCATTGGCCTTTAATAATTTCCGATTTGTTAGCGATAACTCTTTTCCTCTTCCCCTTTTGCTTGTTATCTTTCGTGTTCCGATTTTCATCATCTTTATCCACAATCAAGCGCGAATTCGAGTAGCTCATCACGATCTTCTCGGAATAATCGAATTGCTCTTCCACTTGATACGGATCCATCATTACGAAAGGAGCTCTCGAGCAATCTTCATTGACGTTAAAACACGCTTGAAACGGATCGAAAGGGTCGTAGAAAGACGAGTAGTGAAAAGTCGAGTTATGTTCGATCCAAGACGAGCAGTTCATCGAGGGGTTATCATCGTGATCAAGATTGTGCAGTTGAACTTGATGAGATAAAGCAGAAAAACCCTTATGATCATCTAATTGGTGTGTGTATGGATTTTCATTGTAAGGGTTTGTATACTGGCCAAGATTGTGCCTGTGAACTGTATCAAAATCCATGCAGTGAAGGAGAAAAAGAAAAGAAATTAAGAAAAAAAAAAAGGAAATAGACTATAATCAGGGATGATCAGTTTTAGAGAGAGAAACAAGAGAGAGAGAGAGAAGAAGAAGGAAAGTGAGAGAGACAAATGTGAGTAGTGAGCTGCAAGAAGAGGGTGAGTTGTAATAGATTTATGAGTAATAAAAGGTGGGGTTTTGATGAGAGAGTTAATGACCATTGATGTAGAGGCTAATCTCATGGTGAGGAGGGTTAATGGAGACTATTAAGCTTCAAAAGAAAAGAAAGAAAAATAAAATAAATGGAAACCTAAGGTAGAAAATACTATATTTATATAATAGAAATATTTTTTTTCTATCTTCTTTGAGTTTTTAAGCTTTATCGAAATAATTTTTGTTAATATTACCTTTAAATTATGGAATAGAGTAATTTATATATTAAAAAAAATAAAAAAACATGTGGACAAAAAAAAA